CTAAGTGTATAAGTCAGGCACAGAAAGACAAATATCAAATGATCCCACTTAAATATGGAAACTAAAACAAACTCATAAAATTCATAGAGTAGAGAGGCAGCTACCAGAGGGCAAGAAGTGGGAATGTTTAGGTAAATGGGGAGATGTTGGTCAAAACACAAAGTTTCAGTTAGACAAGAGGAAGAAGTTTTTTTGATGTACAATGCACAGCATGGCTAATAGCATATTACATATTTCAAAACTGCTAAGAGTAAATTTCAAATATCCTCACCACAAAAAAAGAATAAGGTGATTGATACTTAATTAGCTTGATTTACTCTTTACCCACTGTATACATATAACATCATTTTGTACCCCATCAATATATACAATTAATCTGCCAATTTACAATAAAATTTCTAAAATTAATAATTTTTTTTAATTAAAAGGGGATTGACAAGGAAGTGCTCCAGTAAACTTAAAACATGAAAACAGAAACTTTAAACTTCAAAAGAGTTGGAGGTGGAAATCTTTCAGAAAAACAAAGAGGTGGACACGAGGAAAGACAGAATCAAATTTGTCCCAGGACAAAAGCCATGCCATAGGCTTAGAGAACAACTAGTCCAGAGTGAAGAAGGATAATGGACTCCTGAACATTGTCTCCAACTTAAAAATTAAACTGATAGGCCACCTGATGTGTTTGAATGTTTTGAGAGGAGAGTTTGGGACAAATAAATCATAGAATGCTGGAACAGAATGCTGTTCTGAATGAATGTTAGGTACTTCATAAAGTTTGCGTGGAGAAAGAAGCAATGATTAAGCTCAATCAAAAGAAAGGAAATGTAATCATATTGTGCTAATTGCATCAATTATGAATAATATATCTTTATAATATAATGAAAAGTGATTTACCTAAATAGGGCGATATAGATATATATATATTTTTTTTGTTTGTTTGTTTTTAGTTGAAGACTCACTCTGTCACCGAGGCATGAGCAGTGGCATGCTCATGGCCACCCCAGCATCTACCTGCTGGGCTCCGGTGATCCTTCCGTGTCAGCCTTCCAAGTAGCTGGAACTATAGGTGTGCGCCACTGCGCCCAGCTAATTTTTGATTTATTATAGAGACGAGGTCTCACGAAGCTGCCCAGGCTGGTCTTGAACCAGTAGTCTCAGGCAATTCACTCGCCTTGGCCTCCCAAAGTGCTGGGCCGCTGAGCCCGGCTAATATAGATATATTGAGGGTGGAGGACGGAGACATAATACATGTGTTTATGGGAAGACTTTAGAGTATAAAATGTATATTATTTCCTTTAATGAAGTAAAATAATGGCCCAAACTGAAAAATTAAGAAATATAAGCATGCTACGTAGAAATATGGAGATAAATACCAGAAGAGATTGCTAAGAGATTTAAAAAAAAAAAGGTTATGTCTGGGGAGGAGAAAATGAGTGTTGAGGGCTAAGACAAGGTCTGCTGTTTTTCAATATAAGCCTAGTGATACTATTTGATTTTTTATTTATTTTAAATTTTTAATTAATTAATTTATTTTTTGAGTTGGAGTCTCACTCTGTCACCCAGACTGGAGTGCAGTGGCCACTCCCGGCCACCACAGCCTCAACCTGCTGGGCTCCGGCGATCCTTCCACCTCAGCCTTCCAAGTAGCCGGAATTACAGGCATGCGCTACCACACCCAGCTGACTTTTTGATTTATTGTAGAGATGAAGTCTCGCTGCCCAGGCAGGTCTCGAACCCGCAGGCTCAGGCAATCCACTCACCTCAGCCTCCCAAAGGCGCGGGATTACAGGCTGAGCCTCCGAGCCCGGCTTGATTTTTTTAAAAAATTGATAAAAATAGAAATGAATAGGTTTAGTGTAGTATTTCATTTATTTTAAAATCTTAGTAGTCAGAGAGGAGATTGTTTTCACGAAGTATTCTAAGATACTGGGAAACCAATAATACCGACATAGCTGGGCTCGGTGGCTCAGCCTGTAATCCCGCACCTTTGGGAGGCTGAGGTGAGTGGATTGCCTGAGCCCACGGGTTCGAGACCCGCCTGGGCAGCAAGACCTCATCTCTACAATAAATCAAAAAATCAGCCGGGCGTGGTAGCGCATGCCTGTAATTCCAGCTGCCGGAGCCCAGCAGGTCGAGGTTGCGGTGGCCGGGAGCAGCCACTGCATGCCAGTCTGGGTGACAAGAGACTCCAACTCAAAATAAAATAAAATAAAATAAAAAATACCGATATAATACCTCTAAAACTAAAATCCTTTCCAGTTTGGTACTAAACTGTGTTTTGTTACTTCAGGGACTCTAGTAACTTGTCGACAGTTTTGGCACCAGCAGCTCTAGGAACAGAGAAGTAGTATTCTGGCCCCATACACTGTTGTTACCATGGTGAACACCAGCAAGTGATGGCACAGTGCATTTCGGTGGCTTTACAGGCAGCAATGGGCTGAGAATCTCACTAAAGGAAGCTGAGTAGAAAACAGCATCCTAGCAGATGCACACAATAAAGAAGAGGGCTCATAAAAGACATCTCCAGAGTGTGCACAGAAATAACTTTGGAAGGACTTCTGCTGAGTGTGAGGGTATACTCGGCCATAACCACTGGAGATGCAATCCAAGAAAATCATCAATGTTGTGCATGACTCTATTTGTTCTTCTGGATTAGTGTGGCCTGGGCAAGTACGGAGCAGATGAGAAAGGATGGGGTAGAGGAATAAGAAAGGCATCCAGAGAACTATTTGATCACTGAAGGGGAAAAGGAAGGGGAGCTGCAGACAACTGGCAAAGTTTCAGTCCCAGATATATTTGTCCCAGATACATAAATTGTCACTTTCGCTTCCTAACCTCCTGACTTCCACACTTACAGAAGACTCCTCTTCCTTTTCTAACCACCTCCCACCAGGGAATTTTTCAGGCCTTACAAAGAAGTAAGGCGAGGGGGGAGGATACCCATGGACCTGTGTCACTATTTAAAAGGAAGGAAATAGAGAAACCTAGTTATAGAGAAGCAAGAAAAAGGTGAAGAGTGGGTACTGACCAAAGCCGGTGATCTGAAGGTCTAGGAAAACCCAAGGTCAGAAATTTTTTCTCCCCTGCCTACTATGGTGCCCCGAACCCACAACTTGCACTTCCTGGGGCATCTCAGCACCACCGTTCATGGTCAGAAAGGAATCAAATAAGGAGTCAAGTAGGTACCTGACACTTTTCTTTGAGACTGACCAGAGGTGCCTCGCCCGTTCCTCTTTTCCCTCTCCCTGGTCCTCACAAGCATAATGTTGTTTTGATCTCAGTCTCCAGGTATAAAGATAACAAGGTCCATACCCTCAAAGAGCTCAAAATATTTTGGTGGAGGCTGGGAGTATAAAGGCAGATATGAAAGCATCATTTTGACTGGGCATGGTGGCTCACGCCTGTAACTTTGGGAGGCTGAGGCGGGAGGACTGCTTGAGCCCAGGAGTTTGAGACCAGCCCTGGACAATATAGCGAGACCTCATCTCTACAGAAAACTCAATTCAGACTAGCCACATTTCAAATGCTCAATTGCTACATATAGCTAGTGGTTGCTGTATTGTACAGTACAGTGCTAATTCTGCCCAGACGGAATTGAATGTACTTGGTGTTTCTCCATTACAGATAAAGTACATCAAACGGAGGCATTATTATATATTTCCGCAAAGCCTCTGGACTCCCAATCAAGAAGGCCTTGAAAACAATTCTGAGGAAGGAAGAGGCCTATGGGATTTCGGCTAGCGTGACCATTCCCTTTATATGCCAGACCTAGACAACCCTAAACGAATCTCGAACTTGCTGCTAAATCAGTTTTTAGCAATCAGATTCACAGTGCCTCACCTCACCAACACGTTTAACTCAGTGTCTCCATATTGTCCTCTGGTCAGCAGAACACCCCCTACAAAAAACTCGATAGTTCACCAATGTGACAGCTTCTTCACTGGGCAGCCTGGTCAGAGCGCATCTAGCCCTGCCACTCTGGTTCTTTTGGGGCTGGGCACCACTTGCCATTTGGGACTAAAAGAGGATGAATACATCTGGTGTAATATCAGACACCTTCTTGTGTTAGATGCTAGCATCAACAAGAATCACATGGGAGAAAAATATTGAGAAAAACTCAATTAAAACGTTTCCACAGACTAGAAAAAGACCATTAAAAAAAAATCTGTTTAGAGAAAGAAACACGGCTATTACATGGCAACAGAATTTGAAGTGCAGCCCCTCATACCGAGCCAAGAACCAGAGGCCTAGAGAAGGGAAGTGATTTGCCCAAGGTCATTCAGCAAATTCCTCTTGGTTATGATGAGCCTTGCATCCTTTCACTACCTCCACTGTCCACACTAACCGAAAAATATTTTATGGGGGACGCTCTGCCATCTCTAGGGTACTCCTAATGTCCCTCCGGAGAATGACAGCCCTTGAAGACCGGTCACCGCTCCCCTAACTCTGACTTGGGGTTAGCGTCCCGAACAGGCACGGCCTCCCCGGGGCGTAGCGCCCGATTCCCCACCTCCCGGAGTCCTGGGCGGGGGATACTACTGGGGCGGTTCTCTCGCCAACGCCACATCTTCCGGAGCCAGGCGTGGGCCAGCCCAGCCCCGCCGCCGTGACCCACTTCTTAGCTGCGGGCTGCACCGAGGGGAGGCATGCGGGGAGCTGTGTCCCGGAGACGCGTGGGCAGCAGGTTAGTGTCTAAGGCGCAGAGACGACCCCCGGCCATCTGACGGGGGTGGGCTTCCCGAGAAGGTGTGGCTCGGCCAGGCCCAGCCCTGGCTCCACACTTGGCACCCGCTCAGCCTTCGCCGGCCGGGATGGCGTCCGGTCACCAACGGCTCCAGCCCTGCATGGCCGCTTCAGGCCCCCGTCTGACACCCGAAGTTTGCCGGGGCCTCGCCGGCCCGGAGGACTTCCCAGCGCACTGGGGTCCCACCAGCCCCTGCGGCTGCTGCGCCCAGAAAAGACTTCCAAGCGCCTCTAAGCTGCGCTGGACCCCTGCCGCCACTCCAGCCGGGGCCCCTCCCGTTCCGGGCCGCGTGCGGGCCAGGCCAACGCCGGGAACGCGCAGCCTCCGGACCCTACGCGCGGAGAACCGTTTCCGGGGCGGAGGCTTTTTTGCGTCTGACCCGGCGCGCCGAGTGACGCATGGGCGCAGGCGGAAGTGCGGGCGGAGGATCCCGAGGCTGAGCCCGAACCCGGAGCGGGTCTCGGGGCCCCCGGGCTGTGGGCGCTGCCGGGCCTGGCAGCGATGGCTGCCCTGTGGGGAGGCCTCCTTCGGCTCGGCTCCATGCTGCGCCTGTCGTGCCTGGCGCTCTCCGTGCTGCTGCTGGTGCAGCTGTCAGACGCCGCCAAGGTGAGTCCCGCCTTGCTGCGCTCCTGACAGAAGCTCCTCCCCTGCCTTGCGGAAACTGCTGCCCACCTGCTGCCCACCCCATTCCTCTCCCAGCCCTGACAGCCAGACCCCTGGCTTCACAGCCCCCTGCCTCCGCCCCCACCCCAGCCTTCCCAACTGCCTGGTGGCACTCGCCTTCAGCCCTGACAGCCTGGCTGTCACCACCCCCACGGCCGCCCAGCCTGTCAGTGCCCACAGCCTGGACGGCAACTCCTCTCTTCCTTGGCATTTCCCTTCCCAGGATCCACCGCGAACTTTACAACCTTTTCAACTCTCAGAGCTTTTAACTTTCCACCCTTAAGTTCTGACAGCCTACCCCCGCCCTCCACTAGCGTCACAGGCCCCCCCATTCCTGAGGCAAAATTATTATCAAGTGTCTTCCCCAACTAACTCATCTCAACTCATCCCTGAACATATTTCCTTCCCATTGTGGGAACTTGTTCCTCCTGGCAGTCTTCCCTCCCAACAGGACCTACAGGATATCTCTCAACAGCCTAATATTCTCACTAACTTCCTCCAGGGCCTCTTTGTCCCTTTCATGCCTTCTCACTTCCTGATAATTTTGTGGGTACGAGAAGAACCAAACTACAAGAGAGGTGAGGTTGTGGCCTTCCTGCTTCATTACTAGTCCCTGTCCTCACACTGCTCTCTGGTGTCCCTACTCTCCAGCCCTGCCCTGGCCCCATATGTACTTGTGCTTCCTCTTTGAGGAGCCTGCTCATTACTGGGTGGAAACAGAAGGAATTCACATGGTATGGTGGGAAAACAGAATGACACTGCATTTTTTTTTAAATTAGGAGCTTTAGTTTATAGTATCTTTAAATACAGAAGTGGGGAAACACAGGTTACAGGCAAGCAAATGTATTTGATCAGGGATTCTTTCAGAAACATTCCCTACCTGACTTTGAAAACATTGTTGGCACCCTCTGCATATCTCCCCTCATCATTTTATGTCATGTATTTATTTGTCAGTCTCCTTTACTAGGGTGTGCCCTAATTATGGGCGGGAACCATGTCTTATGCTTCTCTGAATCCACCTCATTGAGCACAAGGTCTGGCACAGAGCAAATGCTCACTAAGTGGTTGCTGAATATATTTGTGAATTGTCAGCAGCTCTGCCAGGCATATCAATGTATGTAGGAGCTGCGGAAATGATCTTCTGGGACTAATGAGCCACTGCCTTCTCAAATCGATTTCTCTTTGCTGGAGAAATGTCTCCCATTCTCCCTATCCAGAGATTTAGTCACTTCTTCCTCCACCTTTTGAAACTTGTGTTGTTCTCTCTGTCAACCAGAGATTAGAAGAAAAGTTTCCTGAGACAGGGTACACCAAACCAATCTCAGTTAGAATCAAGCTACTTCCTGTATGTACATCCCTTCTGGTTGTAGTTGGGTGCCTCTAAAATTCCATCCCTTCTGCAGGACTCTGGCCCAACCCCTTTTATCTGTGTCAGTGCTTTTCTACAAAGGGTGAATGGGTGGTAGGTAGAAGAATTGTGACTTTTTTTGTGAATAATTTTTAGTTTGATTCTTCCCCATCCTTTTAAAATCAGCATTCTTATTTATAGGCACAATTGTTAGTTTATGTCTTTCTACTAGCTGGTAGATGGCGATAATTTGTTTGTCATGTGACCCATAAATGTGTTCAAGAAGTCACAGTTAATAAGTATTAGGTATTATTTTAAAATAACTTCTTGTAATATGTAATGATTTATTAGCATTATATAAAGAACTTGCTTTTAAAAACTTGGATCTCTCAAAGTTAAAGGTTTTTTTTTGTTTTTTTTTTAGAAAATAGGATTTATTGAGAAGACAGAAAAGCTCCCGCAGTGGGAGGGGTGTTTGAGGGGTTGCCCTCAGAGTTAAAGTTTTAAATAAATGGTTTCAAAATATTGGTAGGGAATGCTTGACAAAATATATATAGTGCAGTTTTTAAAACTATTGATGCTAAACTGTCAACAAGCTATACTAACTTTCTATTTTGGTTACAGAATTTTGAGGATGTCCGGTGTAAATGTATCTGTCCTCCCTATAAAGAAAATTCTGGGCATATTTATAATAAGAACATATCTCAGAAAGACTGGTAAGTATTCTTTATTATTGAATCACTTGTCAAATTTCTTTCTGTAGTTGTCATTGTTAGCCCAGTGTGTTCATCCTATGTACAATTTCCTTTTAAAGTATTTCTTTTTAAGCAAAAGTGTCAAATTCTATTTCCATTTGAAAAAGTGAGAGTAAGGCCCTCAGTGCATGATGTAGCTTAAAGGAATATAATCAAAACACTAAGCCCCAGTGCAGGGTTTTATAGGGAGATGGACTGAGTTTATAACACTTAAACTAATCATAGCTGCCTTCCTGTGCCCCCTTAAGTTTTGGTGAGGGACCATTCTCCTTGCTTTTTAGAGGAAGAGTAGCAAGCCTCTTTTGTCTGGATTACAATTTTTACAACTTGTAAGTTTTGATGATTTATTGTCAAGTATGGGAGGCTATGTTTAACAGTGTCAGAAGGCTCAAGAAGGAATGGAAATGAGCTATGCATATCAGAGTGTTTATGAATCAGTTGTAGGTGTGCCAAGAGGTTGACCTCTTTGATCCTTGGGCAGTCAGGCAGGCCTGTGATGGCTGGGATCCTGACTGACTAGTAGCCTTCTCTGTTTATCCCAGCAGACCTGGCAAATTATAGCTTTTTCTACACGTGCCATGAAACAATTGGGAAGCAGTTGTGTTTGAGCGGGATGATTGTGATATTTTATGGTTTGTAACCATAGTGGAAGATTGATGAGATAAGAATCCAGGAAAAATGGCTCCAAATGCTAGGAACTTGCACATGCATACAATTTCACAGCTAAATAGCCAGCAAAGAGTTTGAAAACAAAACCTCATTCAGTTAACAATATTCCAACTTGACTTTGCAAAAAGAGAAGGCAGCCTTTGAACTTGTTTAGTTTTTCTGATGCCTTTGTCTATTCTTCCCATAATATGAATTTAGGTTCATTCTCATATTTCACAAATGTGTTCTTAAGAACTTCCTGTGAACTTCTTTGTTCCACAAATGGTCTATATAGCCAAGTAGTTTGGCTATATTCTTACAGGTTTTATATCAGGAAGTTACTTGATATGATACAAGAAAGTCCAAATAAAATCTTTAAGTTACTTCCATACATTTTCCAAATCTATTCAACACTTACAGTTTTTTATCAGTAATGAGAACATGATGCGTATCATTTGAGTGGCAAATGAACTCACCGTTCTAGTATTTAGCACTAATCTTTTTGCTAACTTTTTGTTATTTCAGGCTCAAACAAACCACGTCATTCATAAAGTTAAAAACAAGGCTTGTTTGGGAATTTTTCTTCCCTCTTTCCCACTTTACCTTGCTTCCTTCCTGCAACTTATCTTTTACTAGGGACAGGTTCCCAATTGGCCCTGAAAATTTTTAACTGGCTTTTGAGAAGGGCAGGCAAGTTATGGCCAACCAGGATGTATGGCTTCATGAGGCTTCCAGTATCTAGGAGGACCTAGGTGAATTTTTACTTTCTGTCTTCTAGCCCTCTGATTTTGTCTAGCTGTTAGCTTTGGTTCTTTATTAACCTATGCTGGCTGACTTAAAAGTTAGATGCCTCTGGATTATATTTGGGATGTAGTTTAAAACTAGCAATGTCTTCCTTTTGGCACTAGGGGGAGGTGTTGCCCAGTTCCTAAAGTCATTGAGCTCTGTCAAAGTCTAGCTCCAGTTCTGTTTGCGATGATTGGTCAGCCAGAATCAATCTTCCTGCTGTCTCTCCAGCCTTGCACAACATTCAATACCTTTTTGATACAAAAATGTACGTGTCCTTCAAAAAAAGTACTCAACACTTACTCAGCACTTGGGTACTTGGGTTCCCCAAGAAATTCTTTTTTTTTTCGAGTTGAAGTCTCACTCTATCGCCCAGACTGGAGTGCAGTGGTCGCTCCCGGCCACCGCAGCCTCAACCTGCTGGGCTCCGGCAGTCCTTCCACCTCAGCCTTCCAAGTAGCTGGAACTACAGGCGCGTGCTACCACACCTGGCTAATTTTTGATTTATTGTAGAGATGAGGTCTTGCCAAGTTGCCCAGGCGGGTTTCTAACTCGCGGGCTCGGGCAATCCAATCACCTCGACTTCCAAAGCACTGGGATTACAGGCTGAGCCACTGAGCCCGGCCCCAAGTAATTCTTAAGTCTTGTTGGCTTCTGAAGCTGAAATAAGAAACTGAAGAGGGAGATAAGTTTCATTTTCCTGAGGTTCAGGGAAATAAGGGTCATTGACCAAGGAGACAGAAGTCCTGGATTCTGGTCCTTTTTCAAATACTAATTTACTCTATGACCTTGTACAGGTGACTTCTCTAAGTATCAGGCTGAATGACCTTTCTAATTCTGAGAGAGAGTATACCTGTTATGGGATGTAGTTTCTTCTGCCCATTTTATGCTTGTGTCCAGATGGATGTATGCCTGTCTTCTGTATATTGGGAAAAAGTATCACACACTTTCGTGGTGTGAGTAGTGGGACCTACCCTTTGAAAGTCTATCCGTGGAGATTTGGTTTTTCATTACAAATTTTATTAATTTTTTTTTTTGAGTCAGAGTCTCACTCTGTCATCCAGACTGGAGTACAGTGACATGCTCATGGCCACCACAGCCTCAACCTGCTGGGCTTAGGTGATCCTTCTACCTCAGCCTTCCAAGCAGCTGGAACCACAGACTTGCGCCACCACTCCTGGCTAATTTTTTGATTTATTGTAGAACAAGGTCTCACCAAGTTGCCCAGGCTGGTCTCGAACCCCTAGGCTCAGGCAATCCTCTCGCCTCAGCCTCCCAAAGTGCTGGGATTATAGTTGTGAGCCACTGCACCTGGCCTGCCTTCATTAAAATGAAGTTACCTGTTAAAGATAATAACTAACTGAACTTCTACAATTTATACCATTTTAGATTTTTGTTCTAATGCCACAGTTCAGAGGCAACAAAATGACAAAGTACACTTTAACAAATTTATTTTTAATTGATGAATCATAATTGTACATGTTTATGGGGTACATAGTGATGTTTCACTACCATGATTAGATGAGAGTATTTACCATATCCATCATCTCAAACATTTATTATTTCTTTGCGTTGAGAACATTCAATATCCTCCTAGCTATTTGAAACTATATATTATTGTTAACTATATTGTCATCCTATCGTGATACAGAACACTAGAACTTATTTTTCCTATCTAGCTGTCATTTTGTATCAGTCTGGAGTACTGGGTGCCCCCAAGAAGAATGGGTGAGAAAAGACAGGATGCTGTAGTAGAGTGCTTGAGGCAGCCAGAAATGCCTAGGGAGGCAATGCCAAGAGGGAAGAGAATTGCCCAGCAGCTGGCAGAAGACTGGAAAGCTTTGCTGACTTTTGCTGTAGGTGATCAGAGCAATAGACTCTTAATAGCTGAGTAGAGTAATAATTTAGTTATTTCTTGGAATTGATAGATTTCTAGGAAAAGATTTTTTGATAGCTTTGCCTTGTTTTATAAACTATAACTGGCCTTGAAAACAGGAGTTTTAAATAAATAAATATATATATATATATATTTTTTTTTTTTTTAATATAGTTCTTCTGGATAGTCAGTTTTAATTTTAAAAAATATTTTGTTAGCCAGGCTCGGTGGCTTAGCCTATAATCCCGTGCCTTTGGGAGGCTGAGGTGAGTGGATTGTCTGAGTCCGCGGGTTCGAGACCTGCCTGG